AATAATTTTGTGAAATTTTAAATATTCAAGATTTTCAATGGGCTGGTAAATCAATAACAATGATTCTTAAGGTGTGTAATTTTGCACATATATATTTGAAGATTTAAAATTTATTAAAATTTATTTATTTTTGATGGCGGCCATGATAACTCCTCACTGGAACATCGGTATCCGAAAATTCCAACGGTGTTAGAAAGAGTATATGTCTAGCTCTCGTATGAACTAGGATTATGACTTCGCTCAAAAATTAACCAAATGGCGGACCTCTGAAAATATATTTTTGAAAAATCGTATTTTTTTGACCACAAACCAATTTGAATAATAAGGAAGATCTTCACCGGTTGGCTTTATCCTAGCTATACACTCACAGAGAAACGTCTCAAAATTTGAAATTGATTGGGTTATTAGTTTTTGAGTTATAGAGCCCGCCATTCCCAAAAACGTTGTTTGGAGTAAATGCTTTTAAAGTTTTAATTGAGTACTGATATAGCTCAAATTCGAAACTAAAATGTTTGCATCACAATAACTTCCTTTGCGCCAAATATTAAAAATACCGAAAATAGGTAAGCATTATATGGGGACTAGACTTAACTGCGGGCCGATATAGTTTGTTCTCGAACCGCAGGTAGAATGATAACAACAACGTCTTAGAACCAAACCCAAAACTCGGAACAAATCATATAACTATTTTAATAATTTTTGGGAGGGAGATTTGTTACCATATACGACTACAAAAAACCAAATTACCAAGAATTTGGTTGAAAACGCGTTCAGGACCCCAAAATACCTAAAATTGGGGGGTACCCTTTTATGGGGGCTACCCGAAAAAATTGACCTATATTTATAATTTTTTGTGGAGAGATTTACTACCCAATAAGAACTCATAGCTCCCTTATATGGGAGTTATAACTAAACGTGGACCGATATAGCCCATCTACGAACTTGACCTGCCCGGAGAGAAAATACGACTCTATACCTTCCATACTATGGTGGAGGGTATAAAAACGATGATAACTTCGCCCAATCAAAATATCTAAAATTAATGGGGGCTCCTAGGAGAAAACTCATTGTTATGATATGACCTTGAACATGCCGGAAAATACGTGAGAAAAAGATGATTGAAATTTTCAAAATATCTAATAGTGGGGATACCGTTATATGGGGCTATAATAAAACGCAGATCAATATTGATGTTTTTGGCAGTGAGATGAGACAGCCATTGAGAATATAAAATAGCAAATTACAGCCAATTCTGTCCAAAATTTTCAAATTGCCGATTATCAATATTAACAATTTTTTGTGCGGTTTGATTACAGCCAGTTTGATTGAAAAACGTGTAAAAAGTCCCCATATTGTTGGGTCTCATATTATGGGGGCTACCCTTAAGTCAATATTAAAAATTTTAAATACGGAGATTTGCTATACTATGAGAACCCAAAATGCCGGATTACAGCCATTTCGGTTATAAAACTTGTCTAAAATCCCCAAAATATCGAATATTTGGGGGTACCGTTATATGGTGGCTACACAAAAAACGTGGACCGATATGTGCCATTTGCAATACCAAACATCCTAGGAGTGCTTGCAATGACAGTGCAAAATTTCAAAGATCTATCTTAAATATTGCTACCTCTTCGTGATTTCAACAGACGGACATGCGTAAATCTACAGACAAATTTATTCTGATCTAGAATATATATACTTTGAGAGGCCTCCGGTGAATATTTCGTGATGTTGCAAACGGAAGGACAAATTTAATATACATTCCATCTTATGGTGTAGGGCATAAAAACGGGGTTATTTGAGATCTACCCTAAAAGGGGGCGAATATTAATAATTTTTGGAAGGGAAACTTGTTATCAAGTACGTCTACAAAATACCAAATTTCAGCGAATTCATTAAAAACCAGTAAGGAAAGTAGTAAAGTCGGAAGGAGCCGACTATATGATACCCTTCACCACTACGGGTATATTAAACAGCATTATTAACATGAAATTGGATGAAATAAAATATGTGATATTTATCTAAATGTGAATCGGACTAGATCTATCCATAAACATGGCATTCGTTTGGGACAAAAGTATGAAAATCGACTTCAAACAATTATCAATAGGTCATCCGTTGGGCTATGTCTGTACTTCTAGAATACGTAACTACGTTATTCTAGGCTCAATAACGTAGTTACGTATTTGATGTCAATCTGACAAACATGAGGAGTTTGATGTACAATTTACTTAAAATCGGACGAAAATATATATGGAAGCTATATCCAAATATGAAACGATTTCAACGAAACTTGTCACAGATTATGTTAGACTAATTTCGGTACGTTTAGTTCCTTTCAGCCATATATTGGTTTCTTGGTGCGTCAATTACTTCATATCAGCTATATCTAAATCTCAACCGATTTTTACGAAACTTGACACACAAAATTCTGGACTAAATTCAGTACGCTATGCAACATAAGAACTTTGGCATTTAAATTAAATCAACCGAAATATATATATATATATATATATATATCTGAACTCACGAAACTTGGCAGACATCGCTCTAAGCTCAATTCAATACGTCATGCCAAATTTCTTGCAAATGGAAAGATATATAGGGACTTTGGTGCACCATTTACATGAAATTGGACGAAACTATATATGGGAGCTTATCTAAATCTGAGCCGATTTTCATGAAACTAGGCAGACATCATTCTAGGCTCAATTCAATACGTTATGCCAAATTTCGAACAAATCTAAAGATATATAGGTACTTTTGTACACCATTTACTTGAAATCGGACGAAACTATATATGGGAGCTATATCTAAATCTGGACCGATTTCCACGAAACTTGGCAGACATCATTCTGGACCTAATTCAGTACTCTGTGCCAAATTTCATGCAAATCGAAAGATATAGAGGGACTTTGGTGCCCCATTTACCTTAAATCGGACGAAACTATATATGGGAGCTATATCCAAATCTGAACCGAATTTCTTGAAACTTGGCACACATCATTCTGGACCTAATTCAGTATTCTGTGCCAAATTTCATGCAAATCGAAAGATATAGAGGGACTTTGGTGCCCCATTCACCTTAAATCGGACGAAACTATATATATGGGAGCTATATCTAAATCTGAACCGATTTTTTAAAACTTGGCACACATCATTCTGGTCCTAATTCAGTACTCTGTGCCAAATTTCATGCAAATCGAAAGATATATAGGGACTTTGGTGCACCATTTACCTTAAATCGGACGAATCTATATATGGGAGCTATATCTAAATCTGAACCCATTTTCTCGAAACTTGGCACACATCATTCTGGACCTAATTCAGTACTCTGTGCCAAATTTCATGCAAATCGAAAGATATAGAGGGACTTTGGTGCCCCATTTACTTTAAATCGGACGAAACTATATATGGGAGCTATATCCAAATCTGAACCGATTTTCTTGAAACTTGGCACACATCATTCTGGACCTAATTCAGTATTCTGTGCCAAATTTCATGCAAATCGAAAGATATAGAGGGACTTTGGTGCCCCATTAACCTTAAATCGGACGAAACTATATATATGGGAGCTATATCTAAATCTGAACCGATTTTCTCGAAACTTGGCACACATCATTCTGGTCCTAATTCAGTACTCTGTGCCAAATTTCATGCAAATTGAAAGATATAGAGGGACTTTGGTGCCCCATTTACCTTAAATCGGACGAAACTACATATGGGGACTATATCTTAATCTGAACCGATTTTGGACACTTCATTCTGGGCCTAATTCAGTACTCTGTGCTAAATTTCATGCAAATCGAAAGATATATAGGGACTTTGGTACACCATTTACCTTAAATGGGACGAAAATATATATGGGAGCTATATCTAAATCTGAACCGATTTTTCCCAATTTCAATAGGGTTCGTCCTTGGGCCAAATAAGTGACTTGCGCCAAATTTCATCCAAATCGGATTATAAATGCGACCTGTAATTTGTTTACAATTTAACATCTACAGACGGACAGACGGACGGACATGCATAAATCGACTCAGAAAGTGATTCTATGCATATTCTCAAAAGGAACCATGGGTCTATCTCTATTATTTTTGCCTGTTACAAACATATGCACAAAGACATAATACCCTGTACCACAGTGTGGTGAAGGGTATAAAAACGCACCCAAAACCCTCAAAATATCGGTAATTTGGGGGTATCATTATATAGGGAGAAATTTGGTACCCAATAAGAACACAAAGTACTAAATCTCAGCAAATTCGATTGAAAAACGTGCTCAGGAACCCCAAAAATACCGAAAATTGTGGGATATGCAAAATGTTGACAATATATACCAATTCGTACCGTTATATGGGACTTAACCTAAAAAGACAATACCAACCATCCTACGAGTAATATGAAGTTATGTATGTAAAAATTGTCAAAGATCTATTTTACTATCCAGATTTCTACAGATGGATGGGCATGACTAAATCGACATAGAATTTTATTCTGATCAAGAATATACAGAAGTGACGCTTGACAAACAGATCCAAATATTTCCTGGTTAGTTGTTCAATGGTGTTACAAATTCTTGGACTAAAACAAATTCACAACATAGTAGTGTATGGTATACAGTAAACAGGTCTGTATTTTAAATACATATGTAGGTCCCAAAGGCAAGGATTTATTGCTCGTGTTCAAGTTAGAATAGATGATTACAATTAATTAAATAATAGACCAACAATAAATTTCCAACAACCACATAAAAAACTCTTAAGGAAGTGCATTGTTGGTGCGGCAAATCTTAAAACAAGTTTGACTATGCACCTCATCTAAATAATAAATACCAACAAAAATGACCATCTAAAGTTTAGTCAACGTTCAGCAAACGAAACAAAGTCATGAATATCTACCTTACGATAATACCTCTTATTTTCGCTTTACTAAAATTTGGACAAACGGATATTGTTGATGACAAGCCGTTTCACAGTCCAATGCAAATGCCGACAATGCTTAGCGGGCAGATAACTCAATTTGATTTTAATCAAAGACCGCCCGATGCGGAGAGAAGACCAGAATTTTGGCGTGGCTTGGCACGACAGGAGCTTGTTCGGAATGTGTGGAAACAGAATTTGAATGTGAATAAGGCGAAAAATATTATTATGTTCCTGGGTGATGGTATGTCCTTGAGCACCGTTGCAGCAGCAAGGATACTTAAGGGTCAGAAGATAAATCACACGGGAGAAGAAGAGGTATTGAGTTTTGAGAAATTTCCTCACACAGGATTGAGTAAGGTAAGTGAGATTATTATTTTCCATAATTTTTATTATAGCTCCAATGATTTCAGACCTATTGTACCAATGCCCAAGTAGCCGACTCGGCCTGTACAGCCACCGCCTATTTGTGCGGGGTAAAAACGAATATTTTCATTATTGGAGTTACTGCCAATGTGGAGTTTAATAATTGCACCGCCAGTATGGATGCCAGCAATCAGGTGTCCTCCATAGCAGCCTGGGCACAAGCTGCAGGCAAATCCACTGGTTTCATAACCACAACCACCTTGACGCATGCCAGTCCTGCTGGGACCTATGCACATGTGGCCAATCGTTTATATGAAAGTGATGCTGATGTTTTACAATTTGGTCAAGACAATGCGACCTGCATTGATATAGCCCAACAATTGGTGCGGCAAGAACCAGGTCGCAATTTTAACATTATGATGGGTGGTGGCATGGAAAAGTTTATACCCTTCTATCAGCGTGATGCTCATGGCAACTTTGGTATGCGTCAGGATGGTAGAAATTTAATCTCCCAATGGCAGGATGAACATCCTCGTGGTCAAGTGGTAACAAATCGAGATGAATTATTGAAAATAAATACCTCAGAGATTACCCATCTAATGGGGGTATTTCAAAGTAAGGCCTTGGACTATCACATCTTGGCAAATCATAGCAAACAACCTTCGTTATCGGAAATGACAGAGGTGGCCTTGAAGTTATTGCAAAAAAACGAAAATGGATATTTCATTTTCATTGAAGGTGGTCACATCGATACCGCTCATCATGAAAATAAAGCTGCTGTGGCTTTGGAGGAAACTTTGGAATTTGAAAAAGCAATACAATTGGCTCGTGATATGACCGATGTCAAGGATACACTAATTGTTGTTACTGCGGATCATGGCCATCCTCTAACAATGGTGGGCTATCCAAATCGTGGTAACCCAATATTGGGATTAAATAAACATGATCGTGCCCGGGATGGTTTGAAATTTTCCACACTTAATTATCCTTTGGGTCCTGAACAGTATGTGGATTCGAATGGTAGGCGTTTGAATTTGGATCGAATTCCCAGAACAATTGGTAAGAATTGATGGGCTGAAGGTTTTTTTTTGTTGGAAATAACTGATTTGTTGTTGTGTGTATCTTTAGAAAGCGTTTTCCCGAGCTACATAAAAACTTCTGCCGGTCATCATTCAGGAGAAGATGTTGGTATATTTTCTTCTGGTCCGTTTGCCCATCTATTTACTGGAGTATTACAACAGCATACAATACCTCATTTAATGGCCTATGCCTCATGTATGGGTGATGGTCCAACAATGTGTAACGATAACTATGATGATCGAGTGAAGGCTGATAATAGTGTTTATAATTATAAGAATTAATTGTCCGTGAAGAACTAGTTCCTTTATTTATAATTCTTATAAAGTATGTATTATCAAATGTATTATATAAAACTTTAAGCTTTAATATTTAAAATCAGTCTTCGTTATATGGGATATTTTATACTTTGGTTTCAACAAATCGCTATTGAATCCAACGAATAAATTGATAAGCCACAACTATATACATTGAATATAGAGTGTATTAAATATTCACTGGTGAACTATTTGGGCATGTTTTCAACCGAATTCGCTCTAATTTGATTTGTGAAAGTTTTATGGGGTGCCAAATTTTCCTTCCAAAAATTTTCGGTATTAATATATTTTTTTTCCGAATTTTCTCATCGTAGTGGCTATAATTTGACATATCGGATTCCTGTTAAAGCTTTTCAACTAGAGTGTCTGTAATTTGGAACACATTTTTCGGATCAAGAACAACCTTCTATCACATAACACCATAACATAGTCCCCATATAAATATCCCGATTGACATAAGGAATGTTGTATGTTGAAGTCATGATTTCTGACCTCTTGAACTTTCGAATACAAAAAAATCCCAACGGAATTCGAAAGAGTACATGTCTGGCTTTGATACAATATTTGGGTTTGGTACAATATGTTATCCCTTATTTCGTTTGGAATATTTCACTTAAATTTTCAAATCGCCGCGAAACCCTTCTGAAAGTCAAATAGGATTGCAAGATGTTTTTACATCATACAAGTTCGCAAATATTTTGTTTCAAAATATCAAGACTATTCCCAAAGTCTTTTAAAAAGCTGTGCAAAAATATACACATATAGATTGAGACGTTGGGCGTCAACCATACGAATTTTCACAGTTTGCTGTGGCAAAATCAGAATTTTTGTAGTATGTTTTGATAATTTTTGTGCGTTGTGACATAGTAAGCCATACATTTTCGTCAATGTCGGACTTGCAACTGTAAAGAAAATAATTGGTTTTCCAACTTAGTTTCACAGATGTCGAATTCCAGGCACATACGTTTGAAACCACGAAACTGACAACCGTGTATTTCATTGCCAGTCTTCGTTATCACAATAACAAATACTTTTTATTATAAACTAGCGGGCCCGGCAAACGTTGTCTTGTTTATCAATATAGTTGATGTATAATTTTCGTCATTTTTGGTTGGTTTTTATACCCTCCACAGATTTTTGTAATAACTTGGTATTTGTTCGAACACACATATAATAACATTACAATACTGTATATATAAAATTTTATGTTTATGAGCGAGTCTTGTTGCTATTTTGGCCTTCTAAAGTTTGGGTAGATATAAGTTGATTAATAATTGAATTCGTGGGAAATAAATTTAAATTATTTAATTACATTTGACCCAATATATTTAAAAGACTTCCATATAACGGTAACCCAATATTAAATTAGCTTTTTATACCCTGCACGATTTAAGATAGAACTTTGAAATTTGGATATACATTATTATTAACACACATACATTTCTACTACTCCTAAGATATTTGGTAATGAAAATGTTAAAAACTTTAGGGTAGCAATCAATATTCAACAGAACTATTTCTAATTTAATAATAGGGATACTACTACTAATACTGCATAATTATAATGATCAACATTGACCCAATATTTCGAATATCCCCCATATAACGGTATCCCTTAATATTCAGCATTTGGCTGTAATTTTATATTCGCCCAAGCCAAATATCGCCTATATAATAGTACTCCACATTTTTTGATGCTATGGAGGATTTGGGCACGTTTTTAAATATAATGGGCTGTAATTTGGCATTTGTTTCTTTTAGTTGGTAATTATCAATATTGGTCCACTTATTGAGGTAGCCCCCATATAACGGTACCCACAATATTCTGTATTTTGGGGAGTTCGTCAAGTATTTCATGGAAGGGAACGATATATTTAATTTTGGATGATCTAAACGTCTTTACCAAAAATTATCAATATTGGTCCAAGTTTCCGGGTATCCCTATATAATTATATCCCCCTTGTTCGGTATTTTATTATGTGGTGTCAAATATTTCTATCAAAAATTTATATATATATCCATTCCCATTGTAGTAGCTGTAATATATCATTCCAGGTTATTGAAGGGTAAACACATTTTTGCACATTTGGAAACACTTCTATTTAGGACCAAGATTTAATATAGCTCCATTTCCAGTGTTGTAAAGACGTTGGCCTAACATATTAAAAGGGCACCATAAATATTTCCCGTATAATTATCGGTATGTCTGTAATTTTGAACATTATTTTTTCAGAACATGGACAACCTACTATTGTCCCCACCGATTTAGGGAATCTACAAAGTTAGACCTTAACAAAATTTTTACATGTTATTAGATGTCCTCATTTAATATATCAGAAGTTGACATATTGAGGTATTTGACATTTTATAATCACGTGTTTAATACGAATAGGTAATATTATGTTTTTTGATAATTGTTCTATTTCCATAGGAAGTTAATGATCGAATTTTGCAAAGATATTAGTATATTAGTTTTCTCTGTGATGTGCAAAGTATTGTGTTTATAAGTTCAAAGATATTAACCAACTATTAGGGATATAACAACCATATAATGGTAAAACCTGATTTGATATTTCTCGTGACATTTTAGGTACTTTAAGGATCAACATATCTATTTTTATTATTTTCAAGAAAACAGTTATTATTTTCCAATGTTTCAAGAAAACTAATCTAGGGCATGTATCTTAGAATCCGAAATCTATTCCGAATGTCTACTGATTGTCTGCATTCTCACAAAAGAAGTTTCAATACAATTTTCAATAATTGACAAATGATGGTTAAAAGGAATAATACCATACCAATTATGGCCCAAAATATCTCAAAATAAAAACTACGACGTGGTGCAATCAAAGTAGCTTGCTATTAAATTTGTGGAAATGCAAATGCTTCATAATATTTTTGCGATTTTAAATTTTTTCACATTTCAAGCCTTCTTTAGACCTCCGCAGACATTCAAAGATTAAGATAAGATAAATCCATTCAACCGTTATTCAGATTTAATTTTTATATACATAGATAGATATGAATGGAATTTGAATCCTGCGCTGTGAGCACAATGATCAACCTCCGTATCCAAAATACCCATAAAATAAATTTGTAGAAATTTATCTGCAGCAGGTAGTGGTAACAGTGCCCCCAGTAATTGACAAATATTTCCTTGTATCTGTAATATTTAAATTTTTGTCCATCATTAACTTCCGATGTTTATTTAAGTACAAACTGGAATATTATAAAAAATATTTATTCAGATTTTATACCTTGAAAGTGGGCATGAAATTGTCCTGTATAATATGTGTAGCGGCAAATAATGTCATCTGGAAACAGTTATTATATTTCTGAACATTGACCAAGAAGTGCTTATAATTAATTTCCAGTGTATTTTAACGCCTCACAATATTTACAAAATATTTTCATTTCCCCAATTATCGCAGAAGCACTGCTTCTGCGGATTCGTTCTATTTCATTACGTCGTGTTTGCTGTTGATGAGTTGCATTTTTAGCCTATCTACTTCATTGGTATTCTGACATAGCAATACGAATATTTTCTGTCCCTTTCTGGTCATCATTGCACGTGAGATAGCTCTTCGCATATTCGATTCACTGCGACGACCTGGGTTAGGTCGTTTTCTGCTCGACATCTTACCGTAATTAATCAAAATGAGGAAATTTCGCACTCACTGAACAATAAAGTGTGACTATCACAAATCACTATCTCAAAAGATAATTGTCACTCACAAAGTTAGAAGTATGCATTCATAGAATATCGTAACTAAAATCTTTAAGCCATCAATCTCCGGGTTCTGAATTGCAAAAAATTATTGAAATATTAGTTAGTTGACGAATATTATGGTTGCTTCCAGAAACTTAAACATTTTCAAACATAAAATAATAATTTGACACAAAATCCAAATTGTCTCTATGACTCTACCCTTTAATTAGAAGGCATTTGTATGGGAAATATAAAATCCAGTTTTTAGAGGTTTCGCGGTATTTATTCCATATTTTCTCACCTTTTAAACCTTCCCTGAACTTCTACGAACATTTCAAGACTAAGTTAAGATATATCCGTTTAGCCGTTCTCGAGTTTTAGCGAGACTAACGAACAGCAATTCATTTTTATATATATATAGATAGATAGATATAGAATATAGATAGATAGATAGATTTGTGTAAACTTGAAAAAAAGATTGATATTGTATCCCGACACAAGATCCAATACATGTTATTCTAGGTTCCATTTGGTATGTTGTACACTAATTCGTCCTAAACAAATTTTAGTTATTATGGTACAACATTAGGTGAAATCGGATGTAAATATATATATGGAACCTATATCTAAACCTGAAACGACTTCAATCCAAAACACTATGTAAATTGAACAGACATAGGCTCTTCTATTTCCTCAATTTGCATCATTATACAAGTGGCAGCTATACCTACATCTGAACCGATTTCAACAACAAAATATCGTGCAAATAGGACAGGATCTATGGTGCATCATTTACATAAAATGTGAGCTATATTAAAATCTGAACGTATTTCAACAAAACTTCACCTGTAGTAACTTCAATACGCTATGCAAAATTTGGTATCAATCGGACAAACATTGTAACAGTATGGTGCACCATTTACGTCAAATCGGACGAAACTATATATGTAAGCTATATCTAAATCTGAGCCGATTCCAACAAAACTTCCCATACATCAATACGGACCTAATTCAGTACGCTGTGCGAAATTTTGTCTCAATCGCTCAAATATTGCCAGTATGGTGTACTACTTACATAAAATCTGACGAAACTGTATATGGGAGTTATATCTAAATCCGAACCGACTATATATATATGTGAAGGATGTAACCGATGGAGGCGTTCGATGTTAAGATGTGCAAAATAGTTATTTGTCGTATTAAGTGCCACTATCTGTACTGACAATAACAACCAGTTCAGCAATTCAGCTAAACTCCT